GGGCGCTGAGGGGTTTGTTTTTTTGTGCTTCTTTTTTCTTTTTCTTTTTACATCAAGTTCAACTCAGAACTTCAACCATCACCAGGGACATTGGATTTGGAATTGGTGGTGCTAAAATCAGAGTTTATACTATGGCATAAACTGATTTCAGACATTCACTGGGCTCCACAGTTCTTCTGCATTTTCTCCGGAGGATGTGCATGTGTGAACGCAAACGTCAGCATGAGATGGTCTACTGGTTCTGTGGACTTTATCCACGTGGCCTGCGAGTGTAATGTCTGTAGAAGGAGGTCGATGTGACAACACAGCAGGGGGTGCCCAGCTGGATTCACTGTGAGCAAGTGGGGGGGTTGATGGAGCTTCTAATATGTCTAAAATTTAAAAAACAAAAAGAAGAAGCGGTGACACACGTAGACGACACAGTTGATTATGTCAGAGTTTGTGGTGATAAGAGCTGATGACTGTGTTGAGGTGCTGTAAACATGATAACATAACTATGCAGCGGAGTTATTATGTCACTTCCTGCCTGCCTGCTCCACCGCTCGCCTGAATAATGCAGATGATTTGATACTGTTGTGAGGGTGTCTGTGCAGAGAACCTCCTGCTGTTTTGTGCATGTGTGAAATTCACTCTGGGTAAAGCCAACTGGCCAGATTTTACCTGGAGTCTGAAAACAGCTTTCGTGGACCAACAGTCTCATCCATTTTTACTTACCTCAACTGTTTCAACTCTTTTTTTCTGCAGGAACCATCCAGCTCCTTGCAGTAATGGCGACCATTGTGATGGAGAGAATTGGGCGTGTGTTCATCAGCCTGCAGCAGATCAGGCAGGTCCCCCAGATGCTGACTGAGGCTGCTCCCTCCATGCCTGGCACCGTGAGAGACACCGAGGTTCCCGCCTATTTTGGGGAGCTCCATGTCTGCACAGGCTACCGACCGCTCAACCAGAACTGGCGCTACTACTTCTTGTCCTTGTTCCAGCGCCACAATGAGACTATCAACATCTGGACTCACCTGCTGGCGTTTTTAGTTCTTCTCGTCAAATTGCAGCAGCTCATAGAGACTGTGGACTTTGTTGGCGATCCTCAATCGTGGCCTCTATTGATTCTCATCCTGTCGTCTTTAAACTATACTGGCTTCAGCGTACTAGCTCACATGCTGGGTGGGAAGTCTGAGCTGTATCACTATGTCTTCTTCTACCTAGACTATGTCGGGGTAGCACAGTATCAGTACGGCAGTGCTATAGTTCACTTTTATTATGCTGTGGATGAGGGCATGCACAGACACGTGCATGGGATCTTCATGCCTGTTGCCACCATCCTCAGCTGCTTGTCATGCCTGGGTTGTTGCTACGGCAAATACTGCAACCACACCCAATCAACGAGGGTGCGTAAGGTGTGCCAGGTGCTGCCCTCGGCAATCGCCTACATGTGGGACATCAGTCCAGTGGCTAAGAGACTCCTATCCTGGTCCTCAGCCAGCAGTGACCAAGCCGTTCTCTTTCACTTTGGCCAAGTGATGTTCTTTCTCATCTGTTCCTTCTTCTTTACCTTCCCCCTCTTCGAGCGCTGCTTCCCTGGACGCTGCGATTTTGTGGGACAGAGTCACCAGATTTTCCATGTTTTGCTATCCTGCTGCACCCTGTGTCAGATTCATGCCTCCCACCTTGATTACGTGGGCCGCCGGGAGCTGTACTCCCGTTTGCATGGCAGTGGTGAGGTTGCTCTCTTTGCGGGACTCTACGGGGTCACTCTTGTCATGTGTGCGCTAATTAGTGCCTTCATGTTGAGGAAAGTTAAACAAATGCTTGACTTGAAGACCAAGTCCAAATAATGGATTGAATGTTGTAGGAACTATGTCCGTCATGTGCCTTCTCCTTCCAGACAATCTGCCTTGATAGAAAGGGAACTTAATATTTTTGATGCAGTCGCAGAAAGAAGTAATGTTATATAGTATTAATGATTTGATACTAATCCTTGTGGTACAATTCACCCTAACAGCATTTATCATGTTTTAGTAAAGGCTGCTGCTTTGATCAATATCAGCTTCTTATAATGCACAGACTAACTAAATATAGATATGACGAATAGATGACAAACAGTGAACAAAACATACTTTTTTTTTATACTACAACACTGTGATGACAAGGATGAGCATCTGCAATTTGCAAATATTGTTAATATACATTACTTTTATATGCACATAGTGGGCATATTTAACCCAGGACAATTAAAGGATTTTTAAAAATGGACAATTAATGAAATCAAAGTGGCTATTCCATGAAGTAAAGTGAAACTTGGCCTAGTTGCACTGACGTGTTTCGATCTAGAAATCATTTAAAGGTGCTTGACAACATTTCTTCTATGCAAAAAACGACTTCACAATTGAAGTACAGACACTATTGTGTGATAAAATAAAAATAAATCGACTTAATTACATTTTACATTGTATGAACAATGTTACATTGTGCAGTGCCTTTGTCATTGTGCCTTGAGAGCCCAGTGTTTGCACATTTAATGTTAGATTTACCATAAAGTCGGTGCTGATTTATTATTGCATCAATATTGCACTGTTCTCTACATGACAGTGTAGATTCTTCAGAAATGTAAGGTTTGGGTTTTAAGTTGCCATCACATGATGAGATGTGTGTCTATGCTACTTGGAAAGTTAAACCTTTTTTATGTTGTTGTTCAAGCACAAGTTTGATATAATAGCACTTTTATTTTGATAGAACTTAATGCACTGTCCATATTTAAGAAAACTGCAATGTAATATATAATGAAAGTCTTAATTTTTAAAATATAATTTTCGTTTTATTCATGCAGTTAGACCGTTTTGTATGATATACTGTATATTAGGATGTCGGCAATCACTGTATTTTTTCCAACAGGCCATTGTCTCTGCAGATGTTGTGATATGTCATAGTAAGTAAAGCACACGTGTGTTGCTGAAAAAATAAACAATGGCTCTGATTGTGTGACAGTGAGCCAGTATGCATGACACCAAGACCATGATACCGAAGCAGCTAAATGGAATCCAGCCCTGATGGATTTTATGATTTACACCCGAGTATCACCTTCTGTGTCATTTCAAGGTCTGTGTCTCAATTTGGGGGCTGCATCCTTTGGAGGACATTGTCTAATCAGCCCACGCACCTCCTTCGTGGGCCGTGAAGACTGCAAAGGCCAAACCAAAATGAGACAGTCTGGTCTACAAAGGCTTCACGTGATCAGCATATCCTGTTTTTATAGTTGTTGCCTAGCAACAGAGCGGAAGTTTGGCACGCTGAGAAAGTTTTCATGCCCTTTGTTTTTTTTTTTAGCATGTCCTGCATTAGCTGTTTGGTTGAAGAGTGATACTCAACCATCTGACGTCATGTTGCTTGCCAACACTGTAACGTTTCGCCAGGAATATGCAATGATTCCTGGGATAGGTTTGGCCTGGAAGGATCCACCGATTCCATCCCCTTTATTTTTGGGAGATGGAAAGATGTATTTGTAGGCCACATTTGTAGAAGCCTTGGGAATGGGATCCAATCATTTAAAAAATGCAGCCTCTGAAGGATGAAGCCCCTGAATTGAGACAAAGCTAACATGTCTGCTGTTAGAAAGGTCTGTTGGAAACCTTTTTGTGGCCTTAGGGAAAAGTTGAGCATGTGTGTGACATGAATGTAGATAAAGGTACCATGATAATGTATGTCTGCTACTACTGACCAACATGTGAAAATGGATTGGGATTGAGTTAAATAAACATTTTTCTGGGACAAACCTTGACAAATGCTAGCTTCATTGTCTTTAATTACAACACGCTAACCTCCAGCTCAAGGGGATTTGGTGTAGTTTACCATTTTCAATGTATATTCTAACATATTGTGCTTGTTTTTTGTGTTATCATGGTGCTGCTGCATCATTTTGTAGATTTCATTTTAAATCTGGATAATTTTGTCAGTACATTCCTGCTGATCTATATTGTCAGCAAAGCAGCTCCTGATTCTTAAACCTTTTTTATCTATGAATATTTCATGTGGTGTTTCATTTCGAGTTGCAATTTAACACCTTTAATGATAAAAAAACATGTTGAGTATTCTCAACTTTTATGTAATACACACATTTACTGACACTTCACAGTTACATTCTTGCTTTTAGCTAATCCAAAAAAAAAAGAAAAACCCTGAAGTTTGTGCAGTTCTTCACAAAGTATCTGGAGATAAAAGGTACAGTGGAGGCTCATCAAAGTTTTTTTCTGTTAGCACACAGAGAGGCCAAAGGTCAAGGACAAGCTTATACCTGTGGCATTGAGTGACAGGACCCAATGTGAAGGGATGCCCTCCAGAGAAAATGTTTATAATTATTTAGATATTATTATTTAGTGCTGCTGCTATTACATTTTAGTTAATCATATAAGTGTGTATCATATCAATATACCAACCAGTCCAACAGGGGTTGAATACAAAAGTGTGTTTCTTAGCTAAGCCTATGGAGCCTATAATTATAATTTCATCCTGCCAGTATACATCCAGTATATAGGACTGTTCCTAGCAATAATAATAATACATCATTATAATAATACTTTACTTTCATGATCTTAACCATCGTCATAATCGTTTTCTCTGGGTTTCCAAAAAAAGACGTATTTTACTTTGAAAGGGACCCAGCCACACTTCCTTCCCCTCTCTGATCCACTGCTGTGGGAGGGCGCGCCTCTGTCGTTCAGAACACACGTACACGTACAAGGCGGTGAGGAGCCAGAGGAACCAAGAGAACCAGAGGAACCAGGAGAACCAGGAGAACCAAGAGAACCAGAGGAACAATGGGCGTCAAGCTGTACTACACTACCGTTACTGCCTCACGGATGGTGAGTGACGAGGCGACACCTGGGTGCTAACATTAGCTAACATATAAGCTAACAGCAGTTGCTAACAGCTTCGGCTAACAGCTTCGGCTAACACAGATGCACCTGAGTCCTGTCAGCTTCCTCCTGAAACAGCGGCCTGTACAAGTCACTGCCTCGGCTGTCTCCAGAGAAACGCCAGCACCTCTCTTTCATTTCGCAGAACGAAAAGGAGCCAGGATGCATGATTCCACTTCCTCTGACTTTGTGGAGGGGACGCGTGTTTGTGTCTGGCTAGCTGTTTATTCAGTGTAACACTTTAAATGTGGACTGTGTTGGTCATATAGTGTTATTCTAGTACACAATGCTGACTTCGGAATATCCAGCTCATGCATCCGTTTCCTGTATGGAAAACTGCACACCAGACCTAATGTAAAAAAAGAGTCATTTTAATAATCATAATTTCTAATGTGTTGTTAAAGCAAGAGCAGACTAATAGATTATATATGAGCCGAATTAACCAGTGAAGCCTTTTATTTACAAAAAACAAAGCGTAACGCATTTATATAATTTGATGCATGTATTTATTGCCAAGCAAACAATATATTATAGTGGATTTCTGTAGAAAACAATCATCATAATGACGTCAATAAAGTGATGTTGTACATATAATACAAAATCTCTTGTTGGAGTAAATCTATAGAGTAGTAGAACTGTGTGAGAACAGTGATTGTCCATGATGCACTGGACCACACATCTGTTTTCTATTAGGGGTGTGCAGGAATTCATGGAGTGGAAAAGTTTTGTGAAGACATTTGTTTTTAACCCTCTCATATACAATAGCTAATGTGTATGTATGTATGTATGTATGTATGTGTTTTTGCATATATATATATATATATATATATATATATATATATATATATATTTGTGTGTTTTTTGTATATATATCACATGTATATATATCACATGTTTAGATCACACATGGCACACATGTTTACATTTACTTCCATATGTGCATGTGTTTCTATACTGCTATCTTTTTGTTTTATTCCCAGAAGATCTTACCTGAAGTCATGTTTCGATAGTAGTGCCTCTCTTTTGAAAATATCTTATTTGCAGACTGCAGAACACACACAACTCCACACACAGTTCAATGTTTATTCAACTGCTGAGTCTGCTTTCACAATTTTAAGAAAAGCAAAAGGAGGGGTATTGCTTTTGCTTTTTTCAAAAGCAATACCCCTTTTCACTTTCAAGAACATGACACTGGCCTTACTAGGGTGTGTGGCCAACTCAACGCAAGCTTGTGTGTTTCAAGTTCATGTTGTGCTAAGGTGTGGTCGCATTCACAAACACCTCCACCCCCCAACTTCCTCAACTGCCCAGAATGATCACATGGTCTATTAATCACCACCCACATGCCAGACAAAACCACTGTAGTTATAAATACACAGCCTCAGAAACGTTAAATCATATAGTTCATGTTTTCCATCTGAAAAAAATGTGTGCATGTTCCTGCCCTTCAGCACCATGATGGCAATCAAGCTTTTTTGCTCTTCTTAGTTTTTAGAACTGTAGTGAATGAAAGCAGATGTTGAAGTGCTGGTAAAAATCTCCACATTATGTGCAGATAATATTATCATGGTTAAATTAATTCACTCATTCCTTGTGGCTATGTTGTGGCTGAATAATTTGTAATGGTCACTGTTGCTTATTTTGTTTCTCTCAGGTAAAGTCTCAGCAGGCAGAAGTGATTCGGATCCTCGAAAGTAAAAGCATCAAGTACGAGCTCATCGACATCTCTGTTGGTGTGGAGCTGCGTGACGAAATGAGAAGCAAGGCAGGGGACACAGCGGCGGTCCCTCCCCAGCTTTTTAATGAGGACCAATACTGTGGGGTAAGAGAAGCACACACATGAGTGGATTCCTGACCCTAGCCTGTGGAGACCCGTCATGATCCATCGGGCTAGGATCGGACAAATATTTGGAATGATATTCTGGTTACGGTTGGGTTCAGTCATGTTGGCTGGGCTGTCTATTTCATATTTTACATTGCATGTGCCTGAAATCAACAAAAACGTCAGACTTGGGTCAGTTTTGGACACCAAAAACAATACCTGTCTAGTTCAGGTCAGGCTCAAAATTGCGGTCAGAGCCACACGCTTGTTTATGCATTTATGACCGACATCATTTTATGAGATTAAATATAGAATCAAATGAAATCCATACATTTAGTTTTTTCTGAAATTCATTCAGACCAGCATTTTAACCCTGCATCAGAAATAATGTCATCTCATACACTGGTCATGAGCATTTAGCTGTTAACAGGAAGTAGATTGTCTACAGTTGGTTGCTTGGATGCAAAAAGTACTATGAATGAGGAACAGGTTTTACTTTGTAAAGTAACAGTAGGGATTTCTAATATTGGACTGATGATGATGTGAAACTGTTACTGACAGTAAGGGTCAGCAACACTTGTAGCTGGTTTTCATGAAAAATCATAGACTGTATGTAAAGAGGGACAACGCAATGAGTTTGCTTGGTAGCAATAGGGATGGAGTCATGGTAGCGAGGTCCCACTGATAAATGAGCTCATATCAAATAACTAATTAAAGCCAAACTAAACAGTAACATAAACAGTTGAACATGCATCAGTGTGATAAGACAGAAACCATCTTCTCTATTTGATGTTTACTTTGACTTTTTAATTTGGTCCCTGTCCCATCATTAACATGGCAGAGGCTGGATTCATGACCTATGCTGCAGTCAGCCACCAGGTGGCGATCGAGATGCTCTGGCTTCACTTTTGGGGAGTTGTCATGTCGACCATTCTTGTATACGGTCTATGATCCAGGCAAGCGTTTTAGCACGGTATCAGAACCAATTCCTATCCACACCAACACTCAATGAAAATGTATATCGCATTAACAACAATGTTCACTGGGCACATCTGTCCATTTAAACAGGAAGTAGATTGTCTATTTGCGTAGTTGGAGGAAATACTATGAATGATTAACAGTAATTGTGGAACAGTTACTGACACTTTACACTCTGTGCTGTAAAATGAGTTGTGACCGATTAGAAACAATTAGGAACCGAATGTGTGTGACATCGTTTCCACACGAGCTTTCAAAATAAACCAGGGCCAGCGTCTCATAACGCTGGTGTAGTTTGGACGGCAGACGTGAACAATGTGAAACTAAAATGAAGTAGTGTTACTTGTATGCAAACCAAATCTCCTAAGTTATAGTGCATCTTCCACAATATGCTCTAACTAAACTTTGCATGATGGAATAAATAGCTGGTGTAACAGGCTGCAGGATTCAATATGGAAGCCATGTCTTTCAAGTGAAGATGTTAATATTTTGTTTGATAATTAAGAAGACCTTTATCATCATGAGTCATTGTGCCCAAAAATGTAACAACCATTGTGAGTTGACTTGAAAGACATCTTGATACCAGTTGTTTCCAGTGAGAAATTAAAATGCTGTTTGTTAGTTATTTTTATTTGCCTGTTGTCAGACGATGCAGCCGAGAAGAGAATGTCTTTGTTTTCTTGTCTGCTCATTGACCCTCTTCCTCTCCACAGAACTATGAAATGTTTTCGGAGGCGGTGGAAGCCGACACAGTGGAACAGTTTCTGAAGCTGGCGTGAGGAGGTTGAAGTGTAATTCTCCATCTTAACCCCAGCCGACACCCCACCCACCCACTCACTCACCCACCCTGCGCCCTGATGGCGACCCCTTATTCACCAGTGTCCACACACTTTCAATGCCATAATGAAGAATGCCAAATATCTTGTGTTCAGCAAATCAGAAGACACACATTCCCTTTACTGCACCATTAGACTCCAAAACAGTCTTAATCTCTTTTATTTCTACCTGTTGTTGTATTTTCTTTCTTTCTGTTCTGTTTTGATTCCCTTCCTGTCGGACAGACCAGTGTTAACAAGTGCTCCTAGTCCACTAGGAGTCAATGGGATGTCTAGATGTGCGGTAATTAGTTCGACTAATCATGGCCTCGGCCACATGATCGCTGGAGATTAAACTAATCCACTGGATGACAACATTCAACCCCTCCTGATCCTCTGCAGACCAAACACACACATCATCACTCAGTCTTAAATACCTTGTGGTTTGTTTTTTTCTGTAGCCTTCAAGTTCCCATGTTGTGCATGACTGCACACTATGTGCACCTCACATGGATGCAAATGCAAACAGAAGTAGCAAGGACCATGATGTCCTTAAACCCATCTAGTGATGAATTATTGCAGCTAAATTAGGCTTTTTTTGGCATTAATGCTGATTTTTGTATTATTTCGGTCCAGTGGTTGCCTACTGCAGTATGTGATGAGAGGTGGTCATCCACTTTAGCACAGTGAGGTCTTGTGCTGACATTAAAAATACAAGTTACTTTACTGTAACTAGCACATTAAAAGTCCCCTGTGGAGTTTCTTTGTTTAACAAATCTATGTTTACATTTACTGAGCACTTGCATGCAAGCTTTCCTTTAATGCTTGCCTGGGCATGCCTGACCATTGGTGCTGGCGAGATATTCACAACAAAAAAAAAAACAATCACTGTCTCTTGCTCAGGCACACAACATGTATTTTATTCTTGCTCACACGACATGCTAGATGTCCACGTAATGCTAAATGGAAATACATGGGAAATTAACTCGACTGAACTCAAACTGACAGTAGTGTGTATTGCACGACCGACAAAACAGGGACCTATGTGTAAATATGTTGCTCCATGATGCCTGTAGAACTCCACAGGGTTACTTTTGGTAGAAGAATGGTTATTGGCTTTAGTAATAAGTGCTGACTCAGGCTGTAGTCACCATTTCGTACAAAGAGGTCATGCCGCATATATTTTCTTTAACCATACACAGTAGGTTTATTCCAGTGTTACATACACAAACAAAAAACAAATTCAGTATCTTCTCCCTCAAGTTTTATTCAGTGTGGGGGAAAAAAACATTTAGATCTTCATGTAAGGGATTACAATTTATGGAAAATTTATGAATTAAATGAAAAATCCAAAGGTTGTCTGGGCAGACCTTTGCTCAGGGGGATGGGGTTTCAGGCTACAGTCCTGTTAATTTCAAAAAATGTTGGATTTGGCGACTGAACACTCCTTAGATATATTATAATGGTGTCTGGTGAACCAAAAACATTTCAGTAATTAGCTGCCCTATGTTCACATGCAGTTGAGCAGCATGACAGTTGGTGCCAATATAATATATCTGTGATGTGATTCTGCAGGTGATTACTCACTGTGGGATTAGCACTTAGCTAAGATCTTCTGCGTTTTCAATAATTTTACTGTACAACTAGACAGCTCCATTTCACCAGTGGGTGCTCCATGTTGGCGACTGACAGAGTGAAAGCGCCACAAGTTTAGAAAGGACCATTTCATGGCGAGGTTAAACAATTGGAGTGAGAAGATGTGAATTATCTTGCTTTCAACTACATAGCTTTGTTCCTTCCTCTGTTTATCACCTTGTTTCAGTTCCACTGACTGTTCCGGTGCATGAAGATGCAGTTATGTGACTATGCACCCGAACCCTTCCTCATTCTGAACAGAAATAAAGGTCAGAGCTGTGTTGAGATTGACCTGACTCAGTCTTACCAGCCTTAGGGAACACTCATCACATGGGAAAAATGAAGGCTTCACTAATCTGTGCTTTTTTTATGCATTTGTGTTTATTCATTTGATTGATCTCAGTTGAAATATTATGTTCATGTATTTGTCTTGTGTCTTTTTAAAAATCGAGAACAAATTTTCTTCTCTTACTCGTAACACCTGTCAAACCCCTCGATGTTCTCATGAACTTGTTGTCAAGGTTTGGGATCCCCAGTAATGGCAGCCTACAAACACACAGAAACGTTTGTGCACTGTTCTGTAAGTTGATGGTTGTGGATGTTTGCCTGTAACTGGTGTGTATTCACTATGAATCATGTTTTAGACATTCCATGTCTCTCTCTGAGCTCCTGCTTCGCTTTTGGACCAATTCCCCTTGGCCAAAAAAAGAACAAATTAAGGAATAAAATGCTGTTGTCTTCCAAGAAGATTGTGAAAAGTGATTTATGGGTTAAAGAAAAATAAATTGGAGTTGAATCTACCTGTGTGGGTATTTTTATTTCTTTGCGGATCCCAAATAAACTTCTAATGTGTCATTTGCTGTTCAGCGTTTCCACTTCACTGAGGAATTTTACAAGATGGTGTGGAGACGTCTCCACCCACAGGGTTGTCATTTCTAATTTAAAAGTTAGTTGAAGATGTTGATTGCCAGTTCAGCCACATGGACGACTTCTTCCGTATTTGATCTTCGGTGTCAGTGCATTTGTTGAAACTGATATTTTTACAGAATGATTGTGTAAGTATGTTTTTTTATAATGATGAAATAAAACATCAAGTTTGCATGTGCTGAACTTAAAGTTGAAAATTAAATGCTAGAAAACTAATGATTAATATTAATATGACTAATATAATTTTAATATAAGTCATTAATTTTAAACATTTAATTAGATGCAAAATATAAATGTTAAATACATCAGTAATTAGGAAAAGCACATTCAATTATTATGACAATTATTACATTATGAATGTAAAGAAATACATAATTATTCATAATAATAAATTATATGAGCTTCATTCAAATTGACAATTTATGCACACTTGTTGCTCGAGGTGTCCCTGAGTTGCAGTACCTCTTGTCTCCTTTGAGTGGAGCAGATGTTTGTCTGCAGCAGAATATAAAGACGAAGAAGAAATTAAAGAGAGGAAATAAGAGATAAAGATCCTGTTTACAAAATAAAAAACAAATAAAATCACTGCTGTGGTAATAAAAAAGTGCATGTATGGTGAAAAAAAAATACTATTTGAGAGGATTGTTCCGAAGTCTATTCAATTCCATACTTTATGCTGTAGCATGGAGAGAAGTGAGTGGAATCACATGTTTGTATCTTAGTCCCATGTGCTTATTTCCCAGAGTAAATGTTGTTTATACCCATACTATCAATATTTTGGTTGTGACTCATTGATTTTGGCTGCTGTTTTCATCCATTAGTTTTTGATCCAAAATATAAATTAGGGTAACTAGGGGGGAAAAAGATGTAACACAACAAGAAACATGCCTCTGTCACTTTTCTTTGAATTGATATAAGATGATATGAACTATTGGGAGAGTGTCATCGAGCAGAAAGGATCCAAAGAAACTCCTGATTAAAACAATAAATCCATATCGAGTCTCGTGAGGGTTTTATTTTGAAAATGCTCACTGGAAGCCGTGCTGTTATTGAACTGTTGTTAAACACTGAGCTAAAGCAGGAAGCTGCGAGATTTGACAGGAGACTGCAAACAGGTAACGTGACATAACCTTTTAAATGGTGTAGGTTCACGTGACTCAGCCGATCTGTGCCACAGAAACACGTTTATTCCTGAAACTGCCTTGTTCCTGCGGGACTGTCACCAGCTGTTAATCCAGAGCTGAGCTAGCTAAGCTAAGCTATCTGACTCTCCACTGTTGTCAGACACTTAGCTCAACGTTAGTCACTTGACATCATGTAAAATGACCTCATCACGTGCTCATGAATGGAGGAGCTGCGTTTTGATTCATGCAACATTTCTGTCACATGCACCCACTGTGATAATGTCGCCAGCTGCAGCCTCTAGCTGCTAATGCTAGCTGTTAGAGACACTTAGCACGTGCTTGCTCTGCTTTTCTGCAGATGTAACTATCAACACGGCTCCTCGACTGTTCCCGGAGAGTCAGGTTCTCCACCATGTTTATACCGGACACTCAGGAGCTGCATTTTCATTCAAACGTCAGAGGATCATAGTGTGTAGCTGTGTTTTGAGCTCCAGATGTCCTCCATCCCTATATTTAATAAAGTGTAGTTTCTCCCAAAGTGCAAAACAAAACATACGTTCAGTTTTCTGTTGCACGTTCATGCTGTTAGTGTTGGTTGGTCTTAGTTTTGAGACACCTGCTGCTGCACGTGTTTGCCTCCAGCCCAATACAGTGGAGGTGAACAGGGTTTTGCATTTGAAATTAGTGTCTCAATATGAACAGCAGCCTCTCCTATGTGGAACAATGTCCTGGCAAACTTCATTTGTGTAAAACGACTTTGAGAGACTCTCTTTTCTTTTGAGGAAATGTAAGAAACTCACTAAAACACATACCTCCGCCAAGACCCAACTGTCTCCTCAAATTAAATGCAATTATTCATACATTTTTTCATCAAGATCTTTGTATTATTTCTTTCGAAATTCATGAAAATGTCGGAAAATGTCCAATCTCGCAATGTCTAAGAAAAAAAAATCATCTCCCCCTGATTCAGATCTGCAGCAAAGTTTAGTGGGATCTTCCCTGACCCAAACTGAGTCTCTCACCAAGTTCCCAGACTCCCAGTAGTGTAGTGTAATCCTGCAAATTAACAAACAAAGATTCAGTAAAGTTTGCTCACTGCCATTATTTATTTATTGATACAACTTGACGCTACCTGTCTATTGCACTTTTGTATGTTTGTATTGTATATTTTGTATGGTGTTGTGTCATGTATGTACTTTTGATGTGTTTGGGAGAAGGCAAAGGCAGATTCCCACTGATGTGGACAATAAAATTAATCTATGAATATATCTATCGATCGATTAATAGATTGCAGATGAAATCATAACCTTCTTGGCGGGGTGGTTAGTTGCAGATGGTTGGAAGTCAGGGCATAAGCTTTGTTTCTTAAAGTGTTTGTGCTTCTGTCCCCGTGCAGCCACATGTGAAGATGAGCGTCCCGGACTACATGCAGTGTGCTGAGGACCACCAGACTGTGCTTGTGGTGGTTCAGCCAGTTGGCATCGTACCTGAGGACCAGTTCTTCAAGATCTACAAGCGCATTGCCAGCGTGAGCCAGGTCAGCGTCAGGGACTCGCAGCGCCTCCTCTACATCCGCTACCGCCACCACTACCTACCGGAAAACAATGAATGGGGGGATTTCCAGACGCACCGCAAGGTGGTGGGCCTCATCGCCATCACCACCTGTGACTCGGCAAAGGAGTGGCCCCAGACTTCTGATCGCTTCCACGGCCAGAAGGAAGTGTACAGCTCCACGCTGTACGACTCCAGGTTGCTTGTGTTTGGGCTGCAGGGAGAGGTCGCAGAGCAGCAGCGCACAGACGTGGCCTTCTACCCCGGCTTCGAAGACTGCTCCGATGTGGAGAAGAGAGTGGAGGATTTTGTGGAGTCGATATTCATAGTTCTGGAGTCCAAGCGGCTTGACCGGGCCACAGACAAGTCCGGTGATAAGATCCCGCTGCTCTGTGTGCCCTTTGAAAAGAAGGACTTTGTGGGTTTGGACACAGATAGCAGGTGAGTTGTTCTCCTCTCTGCATCTTGACCCCTGTTCAAGCGCTTTCACATGTAGAAGCTGGTGGAGGAGTGCTTGAATGTTCAAGTTAATGTGATATGCTGAGTTATTTGTTTTTCTTGTGTGTCTGTATCAGTGTCAAGTTGCTTGTTATACGTCTTTCTCACCAGCTCAAAAAATTCTTCTCTCAAAAATCAGATTTTTGATTTTTGTTACATTCATTTTTCTTTGTTGACCTTGGTTTATGTGTCTTTCTTCTTCTTTTTTCTTCCATACTGTCCTGTGAGTTTATTGTTGGGTGTGAAAAGGTGAGCTGTTAGACTCATAAGTTTAGTTAAGTTAACCCATTCCAATCCCACCAGCCTCAGCTCTGCCCTGAGAGAAACAGCCGTACTCCTGCTGTCGTGCATTTTGCTCCTGACTCTGAGCCAAAGTCATCGCTCCTCCGCAGGTTTCAGTTTATTCACAAACTTTTTTCAGCATCCAACTCATTAAACTTGGATTCTGGAAATTCTCACCAGCTTTGCCTCGAACATCCCAGAGCCAATCTGTGCTTTCATCTGCAAACAAATATAATTGTGGGACAGTGAGTAAATAAGATATTGTATGTTAAATTAATTGATTCAGTTAAACACTGGCTGGTTTTGGAAAGCTAATAATTCAAGTTAATATACTGAAACAAGACCCCTCCCCGTGCCACTTAATAAGGTGAACAAGAACAGTCTCATTCATACTGTTTACATTTTGTTGTTGTATTGGACTGCAGCATACAACCTACAACCTCAATAATTAACACAGTCAAATCTAAACTAAACATTGTAACCTTTGTGAAGGTAAAACTAATGTCTGACCTGTTGTATTGGATTGCATTAGATTTTATAGGTGTTCCTAATAAAATGGCCACTGAGTGTAAAGTTCACTCATATTAAATTCAATATTTTGAATAAATACACAAAACTTTGCACTACATTAATTTTTTCAGTTAAGGCCTGAATGTTGACAGTGATGTTGATTATTTCTCCGGTTTTAGATTTTTATACAAAATTCACTGAAACTGCATCTGTGATTTAAAAGCAGTTTAAAAAAGAGTAATATTTATATGGTGGAACAGAAGAACACTGGTATGGTTTAGTAAAGGAGGAGCTGATAGTTTGGACTCGCTGGCCACAGTTTGGCAGAGGCGTGTGGGAGTCAGGAGGTTTGGTTTGGAACGGTGGCAGTTTGGGAGATTGTGAAGCTGGAGTGACACCCATGGATTATTAATGAGAGCATACATCATGATCTAGTGGCAAAGATAGCACTGCTGAGACACGTGTTAAGAGATGCAGTTTCAGCCTATGATTAACTTTTCATTTTATTTTTATACAAGAAAAAACTAGTTAGTTGTTCAGAAGTAGTATGAATTTTTAATCTCCCAGATGTATGAGATAGATTCACCTAGAATGGATGTTTATGCAAGTTTTAATATCCCTGCTTTGCGATTATACAGCCAACAGAAATGTTTTCCATGGCTCCATTTCACCGTGACTCCGATCACCAACTGATTCACGTTATTTTTTTCTCACGACCTTCCCATTGTTCTAGAAAGCTCAGATGTCTGTCAGATGTCAATGGGGTCGTACTTTTCCTCAAAATCCCCCGTGTCCCTGTGAACCTGCTCAATCCTGAGTGTTATTGTGTGTCGGCTCAGTCTCTTGCCTCGTGTTGCTGCTCTCCTTTGCTTGTGCTTCCTCGCCCCACGCATTCCCTCTGTAGCTGACTGATAAGATTCACATTAAGTCTCCAGTCCTGGCAACATGCTGACGTAAGAATGGACAATATTAGAATTGCAGAGCTGTTTTGAGATCTCCAGTATATGTAAAAAAAAAAAAAGAGGCCAAATTCACATGTTATTCAATAAGTCGTACGACTTTATTCACCCTGCTGTTGTCTGAAAAAAAGTGTTTTTCTTTCCTGCTGCTTTCCCCCAGGCATTATAAGAAGCGTTGCCAGGGACGGATGAGGAAGCATGTCGGGGACCTGTGTCTCCAGGCGGGAATGCTGCAGGACGCCCTGGTCCACTACCACATGGCTGTGGAGCTGCTCAGAGGGGTTAATGACTTCCTCTGGCTGGGTGGTAAGTCTGGTGGATGGCAAGACCACAGCCTGTTTATTTGCTGATGTTGATGTGTTATGGTATGAAATGTTCTATGGGGCCACATAACAGCACTGTTGGCTGATGTGTCTGTAATTTGTTTCAGATGGAGTCTGACCAATACTGGACTTTTGAGACCAGAACTAAAATTGACATTTGAGAGTTTTTAATGCCGCCAAGCTGGCAACAACCAGTGGCTGGAGGCATTATGTTTTCGGGTTGTCCGTCCGTCCGTCTGTTATTCCACATGTCCGTGCATCCATCCGTCCCGACCATTCTTGTGAACATGATATCTCAAGAACGCCTTGAGGGAACTTCTTCACTTTGGAACAAATCTTCACTTGTTACATTAAAATGTACGACACAAAAACAATTTTTTTAGAAAATTGTGATCAAGATACAAAGCAGGAGACTGAACTGTTAAAAGATAAACATGCAGTATATAAAGAAAACACTGTAACAAACACATTTTTGCATTTTAATGCTGCAAATTCTGGTCACTTATCATCCAATCTAGCCTCTGGTGGTAACAGCCAATATTTCAGTGTAGACAATGGATGTCTGGGCCAAGACTCAGTTTTGCGTTTGCTGTACAATGTTAACAGTCTGTCTAGTTTCTTTTATCACACAAGTCAAACGTTTCTCCGCACAAAACACAGACAACAGTGATTTGAATAAGTGTTTTAGGTCCAGGCGACAATTTGGCTAAGCCCTAATATCAGCTATCTGCATATGAATGCAGATAAAAAGCTGATAGCAGATGCATTTCACTCCATGTGTTCTGACTCTTTCACTCTCCACAAGGACTGTTTGCCAGTGGGCAACCAAAGCCTGCTCAAACATGATTGGTCTGTAGTACAAACAGAAACCCAAAGGCTTCCTGCCCCAAAATCCTGTCGCTTGCCTACAGATTGTACATATTCCCATGCAGAAGGTGTTCATAGAGATTACTTTATCCTCTGACCTATACACCGATACAGATTTATTTGTGATATGAGAACAATAACCGATGATACTGGTCAGGCTGTTGTTTGTGTCTGCACTTTCCATCTAACTGTCCGATTTTAATTTGCTCTAATCACATCTGATGTGCAGTGACTGCAGCTGTAGAGTCTTTTTTTTGTTTTGTTGTTGAAGCAAACAATAGGCAGTGCAAACATCTGGATCACAGACGGACCTTCAGACACTCTTGAAGGTGTAATATCTAGGAAACAAAAATGGAAAGAACAAAGGAGAGATTAAAAATCCTTTCATTATTGCTGTATTTTCGTCTGCAGCTGCGTTGGAGGGTTTGTGCTCGGCATCTGTGATATTCCACTACCCTGGAGGCACAGCAGGGAAGAAAGTAGGACGCAAGCCAAGTGTCTCTCAGCCAGCAGATGCCGGCAAACGCCACAGACCAGGTGAGCACAGCGCTCTGTAAGCGGACTGATGGAAACAGAGGAGTGGATGGGACGACTGTTAAACATCTGTTTTCTGTGACGGAGTCAGAGTGTCGCTGCTAACTGTCAACTCCAACAACGCTAAACTTTGCTCTGCTAAGCTGCTTCTCTAATTTACCCTGATGATACTTATTCAAATTTAATTCAAATTGATCTGTGTTTAATCTGTTAATAACTTGGTGTTTTATTAACACTGTCTTTAGCATGAATATATGTATGTGTGCATGTGTGTGTGTGTGTATATGTAATGTTTGTTACTAATGATGATCATTTTTCAATCATTTAGTTAGTATATTAAAAATGTTGTACTGATTTGCAAAGCTATGAAATAAGGAAAAGCAAACTAATATTTATTTTACAAATCCAAACCTTATTTTTGGTATTTTTCTTTCAAAAAGTACTTAAATTTAGTCAGAAATTACTCAATATAAGTCAGATTATCATTTCTTTTTTAAATTTTCTTTTTTTAACCTAAGCAAATTAATTGCACAAGAAATAACCCTTATCCAAATTTTAAATAACAAATGATCATTTGAAATATATATGTTTTAGTTTTTAAATTTAGTCCAAATTTGTTTCGGTGAACTAATTTGCATGCTGAGAGTTTATCGCTGCTCATTGATTAGTGTATTTTATAGATGAGCAGCAGCAGCAGCAGCCATTGCGCAGACTAACACTGCTAACATTGCGCCTTCCGTCATGGAATGAATCTGCATTCTTTCTCTTTGTCTGTAGGCGCTCAGGAGGTTCTCATTGACCCAGGTATGGTAACTAACTTCGCTCTCGTAGACAACACTGCCCGTTTGCTTGTGCTCGCATTAACCCTGTGTTTTTTTTGTCATCGTACACCGTCAGAGTCTTTATTTTGAAAATCAGCTGATGTTTTGTTCTCCTTTGTTGGTTTAAAATCACCTTTTTGATTCTCATGCCCCCACTGTTTCTCACAGCCACAGTTTTGGTGTCCAGTATCACATGACTACATGATCGAAGACCAAACCTTTTCTCTCAGTTCCACTTCCATGCTCAATTTATTGAGCCCCCATTATTCTAACAACTCACATATTGCTTTTGATTATCACACAAGAATCACTAAACCATATCACACAAAAATGTGAATATGTATCTAGAATATTAACCTCTTAAAACCTAAGTTTGTTTGTCTGTAAAAGAACCAGCTGGTGCGAGTCTGTTAGCAGTGGAGCACACGTTGATTTTTTACTCGATAAATGCTCACTGCTGCCCAACCTCTCACTATCATAGCCTAGAAAAACAAATCAAATAATGTATTTATATTCTGTCACTTCACTGTCTCAAAACCTGTACTTTATCTTGTTCTGTGCAAATATTGTGTGAAGTGCTTTCTTTTCATCATGTTTAATGAGCAATTTGGCCAAGAAACGGTGCAACACAGCATCTCGTTATTCACACGTTCATCATAGTGACAGCACCACAGGGTCTCTGGGCACAGGCCCGTTGGTGACTTACTCTCAATTGCTGTATGTAGTCCAAGCAGATTTGGCCCAGAGATGCTCCTTGCAATTGCTTTTTAAACATTTGAGGTGTGAGTGTAATTCTCACTGAGACTCCAAAGGCCTCAGAATATTCATGATATCACTTGTTACTGGTGTAAGGGAGTGTGGTTCAACATTTGAACGCTGAATATCTGGCTCTTATTTACAGTAAAACATGTATCAATATACATGTGGCGGTGGTCATGTCATGCCTTTACAGGTTCCCCTTCTTCCTGTCCTTTCATTTCCTTTTCTAATCGAACAGATTGATGGATGTTCCTCCCAGCATCTTTCTAATCATATTCCAACCTGTTTTGGGTGTAGGTGCCCTCACAGCCAATGGCATTAGTGCAGACACCAGCGCTGAGATTGGACGAACGAAGAACTGCCTGAGTCAGGAGGACATTATCGAGAAATACAAAGAGGCCATCTCCTACTATGGAAAGGTACAGACCACAACCTGCAGAACCGTAAAATCAAAATTTCTACCAATACAAATACTAATATAGAATATATTCTAGTGTTAGTATTAGCTCAGTACATCAGTCATATCTCAGTGTTGTCCAAATTCTTATTTAGTGTTTGACTGTTGATAATGCTTTCAATATGTTAAGGTCTGTTGTGATTTAAATTTATATTGCATTTTTCAAGTATCAGCTCAGTTGTTTATTGTCTCAAAAGTAACAATTGTTTTCTAAAAATAAGAATGAATAATTGAATGATCAGTGATTTTTCTTTTTTGATCAATCCATTTTGTACCACATACCCAGTTCCAGGTCCCTTTAATTTAATAAATAACATTATTATTTATTATATATAATGATAAATAACCATCGATCATATATTGGACAGCATCAGTGTGAAAAAGCTACTCATGCATTCTGTGTGTGTCTGTCTATCTGAGAATACAGAATACCTGATGACAATGACGTCAAGATTTCCACCTTCAGTTGTTTTTGGTCTTTTGATGGATCCATATCAAAAATATCAAAAATAAGTCTTGTTATTTTACACTAAACAAAGCTCTGCACGTCTGCAGGAGCCACAAACTTAGACACAATGATTCACTCTTAAAGGGATATTTCATTCAAAAATTAAATTTCACTCTTTATCTACTCACCACTATGCCGATGGAGGGGTGAGTGAAGTGTGAAGTGTTTGAGTCCACAAAACACCTCCACTGGCATAGTGGTGAGTAGATAATGAGTGCATTTTTCAGTGAACTATCCCTTTGTTCCTGAGCAACAAGCTGTGATCAGCAGACATCAGAGTTCTACTGGGGAGTTTTGGCTGCTCTGGCTCTCTGATGTAGACGTGTCTCTTGTGGCCTCGGTTGACACCATCGAACCTGAAGATCCAGGGCTTTGAAAATGAACAGTCTTGAATCCTAAGACATGGTCATATATGGCAGTGTTTATGACCAGGTTGCGTTCGCACTAAGCCACCACTCATGGGAAGAGATGTGGCTACACGTCCATCTAGTAGTATTTATCCCTCTCACCAGGGGGCAGTATTTGATCTGGTTTGATGAAGTTTAAAGGCAGTGACAGTGCTGGAGACATTGGACCAGTATATTCTGACGGCACCTGTTTATTACTGAACGATACATGGGGACAAGAGTTACAAATGAGCAAAGCGCATATGCAATAAGGAAATCAGTCAGTGATGATAATCTGTTAAAAAGCAGACAAATTAGTAAGTGTAACGTATCTGTTCATGGCATAATATATACGTAGTGACTGCTGTTCTTGTACAAAGTCACAAAGAATAGCATTAAAGTATCCTCATAGCTTAGGGAAAGCTGAATAGGCTCATTATGGTCCCACACTATTCATAAGCAGTCCTGTGCTTTATCTTCATTATTATAATTGCCTTTTTGCGCTGACCTCCCTCAGCCCTTTTACCTGTAACTAGTTTATTCAGAATTAAATTAGGTCTCAACACATAGCCATTCAGATATTAATTGAATTTTAATGAGATTTGAAGTGGAGGGAAGTTGAGGGACGGCGTGATAAAATATGAGCTTTGGCTTGACATGAAGGCATCGGCGGCTCCGGTTTTCCGGCTGGGAATCCCTGAAAAACGAGCGGGGCGACAGGGGACCGGAGTTATCTCGCTTGTTTGTCATCTCTGTGTGCGCAGCGACTGATGAGGGCGGTCATATGTTAATGAAGAAACACTCCCTCTGATTATAAGGTGGGTTGCAGAAGTCACGGTGACCCTCATTGAGTAATTATCTCCCCTCCACCGCCCCCATGCCCCTTCCTGTTATCTCCCGCAGTATAAGAACGCAGGCGTGATCGAGCTGGAGGCCTGCGTGAAAGCGGTGCGGGTGCTTGCTATTCAGAAGAGGGCGAGGGAGGCCTCCGAGTTCCTGCAGAACGCTGTTTACATCAACCTGGGACAGGTATGCTATCTGACTGAAAAATCACAAGCTTTTCCACGGGGTGATTCATACGTCCACAGGGAGTCCACAGTAGAGTGTAGTGCATCTGATTCAGTGTGGCTGCAGGATATCTTTCTATTAAGAGGAAGGGACACTAACACAGAACTGACCAGTCCCATTTGTATCCTATTATCTTTTGTCATAGCTCTTTATCATTAAAGCTGAACATTCGTCTTTATCTATTATTTTTCTTTTATAGAATGAATGAATGTTTTCCCCCTAAGTGATAAACGTCTTGTTTCTTTATGTGACCGATGCAGACAACAGAATCACCTCCAGCTTTGCCCTTTAACTAAAGTTGTTGCCTCTTTCTCTCAGGTTTTATATCTCAATATACTGAACTTATAAACGTATATTTTTGATGGTTCAGTTCAGAGACTGTATATAAAGATAGGTGACTTGACAGCTCTCCCAAAAGTGAAGCCAAAGCGTCTAGATCATTACCTGGTGGCTGCCTTCAGTGTGAGTCATTTCTCCTGCCTCCTCCATGTTAATGGATGGGACATGGATCAAAAAAGTCAAAGTACACATCAAATCAAATAAAAAGATGATCTCTGTTATTCACTGTAGTTCTTATTCCACCCATTTTTAGTCAGTGATTTATTTCTCTGGGAACTTTGGTTTAAATGAGTTATTTGATTATATGAAAACGTCATAAACTGAGACTGACTCATGATTGGTGGAGAGCATGTCGACAGGACCCTGCTACTGTGGCTCCAGCAATAAATCTGTAATGGGCAGATTCTGGCACTAAATGTGCGTTTGTATCTGGAATATTTTGGCTTCATTTCTGGATAGTGGGAAGAAATGGAGACGTGTCATCCATCTTTATATACGGAGCAGACAAATTTCATTTCAAAATACTCTTCTTAGATTAACCATAATATAATATAATATAGTAAACCGTGTCTGTAAAAAATTTAATTACTTTTTCAGAATCTTTTCTGCAAAAAGATTTACTCCTCAGTCCTGATATATATTCTATATATTGCCCAAACAAACACAAACTCCTCTCATACAAACACATCTTGAACTCAGAGAATAGAGAGACCTTCCTGCTTCAGCAGCTGAATGTGAAAACAGTCTTCTAGTGAACTCCGCTCATAGGTCACTGTGCAGAACAAATCACAAACATTCAAGCTTAGTAACAATAAGAAAAATACACTTTTTTATTGTATAATGTGGTTTAGTTTCACACCATTTCTGTTACTTCAGTTATCGGAGGAGGAGAAGATCCAGCGTTACAGCATCCTGTCCGAGCTCTACGAACTGATTGGTTTCCATCGCAAGTCAGCCTTTTTCAAGCGCGTTGCAGCGATGCAGTGCGTGGCTCCCACCATCCCAGAGCCTGGCTGGAGGGCCTGCTACAAGCTGCTGCTGGAGACTCTGCCCGGATACAGCCTTTCACTTGACCCCAAGGATTTCAGCAAAGGTAGGCCTGGACACTTGGAGGTAGTAGAATAAATTATTTGGGGGATTATTTGAAACTTTAGAGTAATAAATTGCTTCTTAGTTTGTTCAAGATGCATAATCTCCAAGTGATTCATATTCACATTGGATACAGTAGGTTTCAGGGCTGCAGTTTACGCAGTTTTCTAACATGACCTCCGGAAGAGGTACGCACAATTGTGTCCTGACGCTCTGGAGTTTGCTTTAGTAGTGTTCAGGCGAGGGGTGGCAAAGGAGGAGGAGGAGGAGGCAGGATGTAACTTATGCATTTGGTCACCTGCTTTTGTTTTCAGCACATCATCAGGTGTCAGCTCTTATCTCTAAAAGCTCTCTTGACATCTTCATCCCTGTCTTCTATGTGTATGCGTATAACATGTGTATGTTTTCTTTTTGTTAGTTTCAATTGTAGAAAAGCAGCTCTACAACCAATCATTATCTGTTATTATATGATTCTGCTCTACAGAACGTACACAGTAAAATTAGATGAAAATATAAAGTATAAATCCCGTTCACATTTTAAATGTGAAACTGGAGAGTATTTGATGTTTCTGCTTGGTAATTGACTTAAACTAGATAGTGATTATCAAAGGGTTATATATAGGGTTAGGCTGATTAATTTTCTGAGGAACAAAATAATAATGATAATCAACCAATTCTTTCAGCTCTTGCGTGTTAGAGACGTCCCGGCTTATTTAAGGTTTAATATATTTCTGATCATATGTTTTTTTGAAATAAGAATATATATGTATATAATAACTGCACTCTTATCAAAATATGACTTTACTCATGCAGGTATTAAAGATTTTTTATATTGAACATTAGCATAAAACGTTGACATAAAGTTTCCTACCAACAGGTTTCATTGATACTGTAAAATCCAATGGAAGGACATACACAGTATTTTCTAAGTGAAAAAAAAACAGTTCTACATATAAATTGAAATACTTGAAATATAATGATATATATATTGCTTGAAAAAGTACAGTGGGGTCTGTGGGAAAGTGATCTCAGACTTTTGGACCTAGAAGGTATGTTTTTTGTTGAAGCTTCTATTATTGGCTGTATGAGTAAACCCTGCTTCTCTGTAAAACAGCAAATTAATCACATTTTGAAGCATTCTCAGTGCATAACAATTTCAGTAAACCTGGAATTTTTATCCTTTGTCTGATGTAAATTGGAGCCATAAATGAGATTCGAGGTCCAAACTTGAGGGTCTAACATAGAAAGCAAACAACATCTGCACATTCAACAGAGGCAATAAAGAAGAAGCCTCAGTCTGAGGAAAAAACAAACAAACAGAGATTGAACTCATTCCATCATAGTTGGATTCATTCATTTTTTTCAAAGCGCCACGAGTCAAGCAGTGCAGATTTTATGTCAGTGAGTAAATCTCAGTGAGGGGATCTTTTTCAAAATGAAAGCTGTGGGTGGCAGTGGTGTAAACACATATTTGATGGATACACGAGATGAATAGCGTGGCTTCATTCCACCTCAAGCTTTGCTGTCTTTTCAAGAGTGCTCCTTCAGGCTGTTCTGCATTCAAGCCACCACTTCGCTCAAACAGAGCCACAGCTGAGACCTGACCCGAGCTTCTGTAGACTCTTTGGTAAGGTCCTTATCAGAAGCATCTCAGTTCGACAGACTCTTGACCCCCGCTCATTGCAGCCATGCGGCCTTGGCAACACAAAAGACAGTGCTCGCAGCTAACCAAAAAAAAAGGAAAGCGCTCAGGGATGTCCATATTTCCTCTTTTTATTTCGGTATTCAAGAGACACTGTGAGATAATTTTTCTTTGAAATGCTGTAAATCTTTGGCCTTGTTTCCTTTGTAAACTCATTAAATACAAGCTGCAGGTTGTTGGAGGGTTGTTGCACTTAAACTGAAAGGTTGATTAAAATGATGTTTGGGAGACATTACACCAATAGCACTTACTATATTAAATATCTGTCTTTTACTGCTATTATGATTTTCCCATCATACAAAAAGTAAAAAATGTTATGTAGATAATAAACCTGTTTCTGATTGAGATTTTAATATGTCATAAACTAAGAGGTGTGAATGACCTTATCAAGTTGTATTATGGGTAGTGAAACATGCAGGATTCTTGGTTAAAGTTGTATAAGGATTCTGTATCTTGGCCTCTGAAGCACTCTTCATGATATATTTTTTTCCCCCAAACAAGACATTAATTTTAACCACAGGCGCAGCAATGAGTTCATTTCAGCTTCTGCAACCAACAGATAACGTTACATTGCAGTTTTGCCTCATTTGTACATAGGAAATTGAAGCTAAATCATAGCACATTAGTGCTGTTTTTGTGGTTTCTTGCGGTACTTTTAGCAAAGCGATTGATTTGAAGAAGTGATTTTATTTTATACAAGCAACATTTTCAAGGCACTTCTGAGAGTTATTTTTAAAGTAAAGTACCTTTTAATAGGTTAAAGTGTGAATGTCATGAAGGGACTTAGCAATTTAACTTGTGTCTAACCCATTAAGCGCTTTTTATATGAGGAGGAGGATCATAAAATCAATTGTAAATGTTACAGGAAGGCAGTGCAGAGCAGCGTAAACTGGATTAATGTTCTCTCACCCATTGTTGATCACGTGATGATTTAAAGTTAGACATTAGACAACAATAATTTCCAACGCTCCCATCCCATTAATAGATTTTTGCCACTTTTTAAAGTCAACATTTCAGATGTTTTTCACAGACACTGGGGACACTTCACCTCTAATTTCTCATACAACTAGAATTGCACTCAGTAGAGTGCATATTACTGCCAAGACCCAACCGTCCCTTTTAATTTAGTCAAGCTGCAACAAATTGCACACACTCATAGATATCATTCCTCTGGGTATGGGTGTTTTTTTTTTTATAGGTTCTCCTCATTATTTCTTGAGATTTTCACAAAAATATCGAAAAATACCCTACCTTGCTTTTTTAATGGAATGCATTCCAAAGGTTAATTGGTTCCTCCTTTGCCCATTCCCCACCAACTTTCAATAAAATTGGTTCATATTTTTCTGCAGAATTCTGCTAACAGACAAACACAAACACAGACAACAATGAAAACAGAAGAAAAACCCTTGGAAAGTGCACCCCCCCACCAAGGCCAGCGCCCTTTCTCCTCCTGCTATAAAGACAGAGAAAAAACATTTCTTGATCTGCCCATCTATACAGATCCATGCCAAATTTCATGAGGTTCTACCTTTGGCCATGCCCCATCCCATCACCAAACTTCATGGAAATTGGTTCAGTAATTTTTGAGTAATCCTGCAGACCAAAAAACTGAGAAACAGGTAAAAATGATAAATAATAAAGCCAAACACAAAACTGGCTGAACGGGTAGACCATTCCAAAAGACTTCAGCTGTATATAGAAAATAACATTGCTCTCCCAAGTGAGGCCCAGGCATCTTATCCCAGGACAGTAGCCGCAGGGCTGATTGGAAAGCAGGGAGTGATTGCTGCACAGTAAGTCCCCTGGGTGAGAGGATCAGGTGTGAGTTTATCAGCAATAAGCTGAAGAGGCGAGTTCAAGTGAGAAAGTAAAATGGGGATCACTGGTGCATTCCAAAATGGCTGCTTTGCTCTGAGATACAGTGGAACAAATCACTTTGTAAGAGTCTCAAAGGTCCTTTTTCACTACTCGCCTATTAGAAATCAGGAATCTTTCCTTCTGTCTTTATCTCCCTCTTATGTAGAGCCCTGTCCTTAAAAGAAACATGAATTAGTGTATTCTCAAGGAGAAAAGTGGCAGTATGTTATATCTCATCAGCCCGCATGTTTGAATATTTTCCATCAGAGGCAGTCTGAAGGTACAGACCTCAGGTTTAGCCTGACAGTGTGACCTCTCGGACTGGACAACACACTTACTATCTCTGCCAAGAAGGTAACTACTGGAGGGATTACCACAAAACTTGGTGGAAGAGTGGATGGATGAGGAAGGACCTGTAAAATTTCGTTAAGTATCCAGATTAGGAGGTGCAAAAAAAAAATATTGTTAGAGCTATGTTAGAACACATTTTCATTCAGACATGTCCAAATCGCACATTGAATAATTTAATATTTTTTTTATATTTAGAAGATAGATATCTCTTAGTGTATGCATTTTGGTGCAGCTTGACCACATTTATTGGACTTTTGGGCCTTTGCTGCGTTATGCCATTCTAGTGTCTAGTGTGTGTTAACTGGATTGCCAGACCCCTCCAGCTCAGGTCTGAAAACACCACAAATTAATTTCTACATGTTAGAGCAAAGCATCATCCTCGGAAAATCCAAAGTGTCCTCTGGATTACTGTCCTCCAGATAAGTGCTGGTTTTGGCAGACTTGTGGAAGTCAGCTATTTTTAGCCTGCTTAGTGGGTGCATTTTCCCAATAAAGGTATTGCATTTACAGTTTGTCCAGAATGCAGAAGAAGTCAGGATGAATAATTACCACAGCTGATAAGTGAAAAGCATGGCCTGCATGATTTGATGTTATTGGAAGTGGTATTTAAGCTGTGGAAACATCAGAATGTTTACAAAATATCCTTCCTCCATCCCTTCCTCCATCCCCCGCGGCCTCCTGAGCACATCTTTCCTTTAGTTTCCTTTCCCACTCAGTGAGTCAACAGTCGACAGCTGGGAGTGGAGCAGGGGATCTCTTTCGGGGGTTGAGGGTCTTATGTAACAGTGGGTTTCAGGCTATTAAGACGTCTTGCAGTGCTTTGCAGAGCAAACAACACAGGCTAGGGTAGCACCACAGCGGAGCACATGATGTGATTGTCTGCAGTGGGGATAGATCAGTTTTAAGAGATGGCTCCAGTGAAAACACTTGAGGTTGATCTAATTATGAGAGAAGCATTATGAGAATGCCAAATTGAAACTTATGAAGGTCGGTCACACACTTGTTGTAAACTTGTTGAATAATTGTGCAGGTGAATTAACAATGTTTGTGTAGAATTTAGAGCTAAAACATTATAAAATGTATATTTTTTTTAATATGACAAATGTAGGCCTCATGATTACCAATTGATGTTCAGTGTTATCAGCCATGTTCTGTTTTGATTTATCATATCAGACAAAAACTGTGTAAAATAGACCCTTAAATAACTTGAAAATAGAAAATTATATTTTTTTTGTAAAAGAGCGGAGTTTTGATTAAGGATAACAATATGGTAAAAGCCGATCAAACTAGAATGATGCTTGAAGCACATACAGTACGTCCACCAAGGCCCAACCATCCCCTAATAAAACCACATTTAAATTCACAAGATCCGTATTTTCATCTGGATCTGCACCCGTGTTAAAGAAAGTGAAACAATATTCCTGGCTCCGCCCCTTGAACTGGACGCACACCAATATATAAAGTGTTCTTCCCTGACGCATACCTCATCTTTCCACCGAGTTCTGAAGTAATTCATCCGGTAGTTTGTGCGAATTAGTGCTAAACTGCAGACATAGAAACTAACAGATATACTGTAATGTTTTTTGTAAAGCTGTTTTTGGAATTAGAAGACTTCTTACAAAGGTTGATATAAGAACCAGTCATGTATCATATGTATTATGTTATTTAACTGCAGGCATTAGTGGGTTTTAAAACAATAACAGAATTTGACAAAATCTATATTAATTTAATATTAATATAATGAATATAATTTTATTTTGGTCAAACTAATATTTCTGCAACTTAATTGTTTTTATAAGCATTAAATGATTTGATCAGGTAACAATATTTTACTATTAATATCCTAGATTGATAAAATCTAATTTCTTTTCAAATCAGGTCAATCAAGAGAACAAATACGAATCAATACTTTATGATTTTGAAATGATATTGAAAGAGTTATTTTACATTGGGTAGAGTTTGGGTTTTTTCTGTATAAATGAACAGAATCAGATTCTACAGATTCTTTTGAGGCCTCTGCACAGATTTGGTTTGATAATTGTGTAACATTAGATGCCAGCAATGTCAAAGCTGAGTGTAGTTGTTATAATCTCTCTCTCTCTCTCTCTCTCTCTCTCTCTCTCTCACAGGGACTCACAGAGGCTGGGCTGCCGTACAGATGCGCCTCCTGCACGAACTCGTATACGCCTCGCGTCGAATGGGCAACCCCGGCCTGTCCGTACGCCACCTGTCCTTCCTGCTCCAGACCATGCTGGACTTCCTGTCTGATCAAGGTCAGCCCACAATAAACACATTGGCAATATTAAGCCTCAGATTTTGATCATAGAATTTAAACCCTATGAGGTGCTTCCAGCTTCATGCACAGACCAATTTAACAGCCACCCTGTGTTTTTGTGATTGTTGCATTATACCTTGTGCTTAATAGTATGCAATGCACAACAGAGCTTTTTCTTGGAGCGAGTGCACCATTGTGCTCTGACCAGAAATCCTGTGCAGCCAGGAGATAGGGCTTTTACTGAAGCAGCGTGAGCCAGACGGTCCACTGGCCACACAATAAAGGCCAGTGTAATCCTTGGTTGGCTACAGAGCATAAGAATGGAGTGAGGGACAGAGGTAGGGAGTGAGGGACGGAGGTAGGGAGGGAGGGAGGGAGGGAGAAGAAAGAGAAGAGGCATGAAGAACATGAAGCAGGCTTACCATATAAAATATTAGACCTCAAAGGGACGTGTGCATCTGTGTTTAAAGTGCTGCTAGTACTGATCTGGCTAAAAACAAATTTCTGCTGGATGGTGAGAAAAAAATCCTAAATGATGTAATTACTACTGCTACTGTTGAGCAGTTTGTCACTGGTGAAACTGACGTCTTGAGCAGTGTTCTTGCTGTGGTAAAATACAGTTTTGTATTTACTTAATGTGACTTTTTGGGCTCAGAGTGCTGCCCGCTGCAGTTTGGGTGCACTCCTCTCACTGCCTTCACTTCACGTCTGACTGCGATATTAAAAATGTCAGAAAGTTAAATGTAGGTCACTCGTGTGAAATGAGTCCCCATTGATGTGCGTTTGACTTTGTGTGCGTGTGTATGTTAAGCATAGAATAGCAATGGTTTTATTCAAAGCATACACGTGTAATTGTGTGAGCACGTTTTTAAATTATTGGAACTACAAGAAAATACAGTTTAATTGAAAGGGAACAAAGAAAAGTCAGAGGTGATTCATTCTCTTCTGTTTTAATGTCATCACGTCCCTCACAGGAGCTATTCTATATCAAAGTTGGTCTGGGTCTTTTCAAAAGGCCTCACACACCGGTTGTACCTTTTCAAGTCATCGCTGGTATCATTAGAAAAGTAGTTTGAATATTTTATGAAAGCCTTCACCTTTTTAGCAGAGCTAGAATTTAAGATCACTCCCAGCGGCTCTTCGTCTGGGTCATGACAAGGTGACCAGGTAGGGCTAATTATACCAGCTTCTGGCACTGCCTCAGAGAACGAGCTCAGTGAGCGACATTTGATGAGGGAGAGTAAAAAAACACGACCAGAAACATAAATGTGAAGATGAGCGGAGCAGCAGAACTACAGTTTTCTTGTCGCCTCTTCTTCGAACAGAACTGGAATAATGTGCAGTAATAGACTGTGGTATGTTGGTTACAGGCTGATTACAAGTTTCATGTTCAAGCTTCAAGTTTGTTTATGTCATTCCAGCCATAACTGTGAAACACATAGAGCAAAATTGTTTTTTTCAGGAACAGTGCGCCCAATACAAAAAAGCAGCAGACTTTAAGATCAGTGTGATAATCAGTAAGTGCAATTTAGTTGAAATGATTTTAAATAATACAAATATAATAACAGGCATAATGAATACTGCTTTAAAGGTAAAGTAGACATAATAATAAGCATAAAAAATACCAGATTAGAAGTAGCTTGTTTTTTCCATACAAATTTAGAGAGCAGTCCAGTGGGAAGAAGCTGTTGCAAATCTGCTCATTTACGTCATGTACAATTTTGCTACGGATGCTATATAATCAAATGCAAAACCTAGAACAATTCTAAAGCCTGCATGAAAAACAGAGATATTTATTCATTAATTGCAGCATTGGATTAACCTATTCTTCAATTAAAAGTAGATTCAAACCTTTTGGGAGAATTCTTCCTCTACAATTATGTTTACAACATTCAGTGCTCATCATTATTCATCATTATTGTTATGCATTTGTTGCTTTTTATCTCCCACATGTTTATCATTCCCAACCCATAACGTTCAGAATGATTGTCTTTCTTTAATGTGCACAGCTTTATATGCTGATGTCTCTGTAGGTTATAATGTCATTTAAAATTTACCTCACTGATTTTCAGCCTCAGTGCAATTTACAACGAACGCCCCCTGGCTGTGAATCATAGCTCCACGTGTGTCCATAATGCCAAACACAGTGTAGCACAACAGTGTTGTACGACATTTATTTAAGATCACTGATGAGTTTTTGGAGCCTGCACACTGTCTCCTTGTCAGCATTGAGTTTCCATACTGTCTCTCATCCGTCTTAGTCTCTCATCAGTTTTAATTTAGACATTGTCTCATCTTTATGTGCTTTTTAAAAAAAATACCATTATATATAATTATAATTATACATAATAAAATACCATTTACCCATCTGGCTGCAAGACTAGGAACATTGTGGTAATTGCATTTCGACTGTTGGGTGTCTCAGGTGGTTGTGGTTGTTGCTGTTTTTAGTTTCTCTGAACTCTGCAACTCGCAACATTTAGGAAAACACGGAGGGACTGATACAGTAAAATATAATGGAAAAGTTGATGGCTGGTGTTATTTCCCAATCTTCATTAATCTCACAAGCTGCTGGCCAGAATTTCTCCATCAGGGACAGAGTATATGTCTGTTTATTACCTCAAGTGATTTGATGATGGGTAAATAATCCCTAACCACCAGTTACTGATCCTCTTGAGCTAGAAACCAACTAAAACAACCTAAATAACTTATATTCTGAGACAAATATGTGATGTTTTAAATGTGTCATTGCAATGAACAGTGAAATTATGCACCATTTAGCAAAAATTGCTCATTTAATTTTTCCAGCAAGTAGATTAAAATTGTTGTCTGGGGGTTGCAGTCTTTGAATAGTAATGCTAAAGGAAAAAAGATACGCACTCTGGAGATAGAGCAGCCTGATCTTGATGTTTTCTGAGTCTAACAATATACGCTGATGCGCAGTGGCTTCAAAAAATATATTCCGACCCTTTATCTCACATTATTGTGCAGATTTAACTCTAATGGTACAAATGGTACATTTGCCCATCAATCAGCACTCAATAAACCATAATGACAATGTTAATATATATATTTACACATGCAAATGTATTAAAAGCTTTTTTATACTACTGACATGTTAGCATTTCTACTAACAATCCTAAAATGCATTATTTATAACAGTTTTCACTAATGATGCATAATACGATGATATTAAGTGTTAAACATGTACTTTACTCTTACTACTTATCATTAAACCATTAAGTCTCTGTTAGATAGGGTGTAGTTAGTGAGGAAATGAGGGAGGCCTCTGGGACATTGCCAAAAGTCAAGAAATCACCTGCTATCAGCTTCTTTAATCTGTGAGTCCCCCAGCTTTGTGTGTGTGAAAACCAAATTTACAAATATGTAATTATAAATAGATTTTATCGTTTTGAGGCTTGAGTTTTCTGCAGCGGCCGCGGGTTAATGGCCGACCCGGCCCTTCTCTGCGTGACATTTTTACAGTAAATATACAAAACGCATACAAAATTACTTTTTTCACTTAAATGCCGACTTTGTACCACCGATCCTGCCATCTCTGCAAGAGCCCGCAAAGTCAACATGCTGTAGCAGTGCATGCAACAATTTGTGTAAACTATTTGTTTCTTTTAAATGCTTAATATCAAACCTGAAAGATTAATGTCACCATTTCGGTTGCTCAGTCAGTTTCCAGTCGACAAGGGCTCTTTTTTTCAGCTGTAGCTTTTATTGTTTTGATGATTTATGTTCTGCTTGATGTATGTTTTTTTTGCTTCTGGCTTCTTGCTGGAAATAGCAACCAGAAAAATCTACATTATTCATAAAGCTGTTGACATTTCCGTTCCTGGTCTGTTAGTTGTTTTCATTTCACAGTATAATTTGATAAATCACCTTTTAAAATGTTCCTATTGTCTGCATTGTCGTTAAAGGCACTGTCTACAAATGATGAGCCTTAAAGAGCGGCTTATATATAAAATGTCTGAGGGGCCATCAACTGTACTGTGGATTTCTCTCATACCATCGAATTGTGAAAATCTCTTTGATTTCTTAAATCAAAACAGAGTCATGTCATGAGCGTCTCAAAGTTCGAGGCCATGAACTCAAAATAAATTGTGGAAATATGTAAACAAATCGTCAACATCAGTTATCCTTGTGTCATCGTAACATTATTTAGTGTGACATTAGCATCCTCCACAGAAAATAAACCAGTTATCATCCCTGATTCTCGCTTCTATTTGATTCGCTTAGCTTATCATCCATCAAACTAATGACAGTTACATGTCAGTCAAACTACATCTGACTACTCACTATTTACATTTCATTTTCAACACATCGCTCCGTTAAGCTGTCAGTCTACATCTGAAGGGGCCTTGGGTCCTCTCACACAGAGATACACTGCCTAGAAGCTAGTTGGTAAAACTAATAATATTAGTTATAAATATTGGTTGATTATAGTTATTGTTTTTAGACACTATATAGCTTCTTATATATTTCCATTATACCTTATCTACAGAAAGGAGAAATATGTAATTCGCTCTCAGCTCAGCTGCTCCTAACCTCACTTCTGTACATGAAAGTCATGTTTTACCTTGAAAAACGTCTTTAATCATCATCTCTGTCGAGGAAACATCGTATCTCCACAGAGTCAGAGGAAGTAGGATGCACTTTGGCATCTTGATCATAGAGCTGTTATGAAATCCTAACTCACCATGCAGCGTCTCTCCTGCCGGGCTGCTGACAGCGCTGTTGTGCTGGGCTGTGCCGGCCTGCCTTGTGCTCTCTGGTGTTATGCTGCCCTCGGTTTCCATCACCCCTCTCTGCTTCCATCACAGTTCATACTGTGGTCACTTTACAAGTTCACAATCTGCCCCATTGTTGCTTCTACATTGCTCTGTGTACTGTGAGGCTGCTTAAAAAGACTTTTGGGCTTTTGCCTTTATTTGGATAGAACCGTATTAAGCGTGTAGGGGGAGTGACATGCAGCAATGGGCCACAAGCCGGATTCGAACTCGGGCCATTGCAGAAAACCCCCAAAAATTAGGTTTGAACGAATTTGACATGATAGGTATTACACCCCCATTACAGTTTCATAATGTAATTCTAATTTTCATATTGAACCAAAGGATTTCTTACAATGTTTACAACAGTTTTACCATTTTCTTTACTTTGGCATCTAACGTGTAGAATTTCCACAACCACTTTTCAGTTTCTTTGGTTTCATGATCATAGCGTCCTCTATTTTCGTAGCAAACCAACGTAACATCACCTGTCAGTAGAGTAAGTCAGTAAAGAGGGCATGTGATGGGTCAAGCTGATAGTCAGCCCCCTCTGCTGGATCAGGAGACAAACTACTTCAGATAGTCTACTGTATATTTTGAAATTGAACAGGTCATTACAGTTCGAATATGAACATTTCCCCCCACGCTTGAATGATCTGGAAATAAAAAGTGACAGCCTAGCTCAAACACAAACAGCAGAGAGTAAACACATCAAGTAATAAGGAACAAAAGGAGGGAGAAGATTGAACATTTAGTGCAGTAGAACACACCTGAAAGACTGTGGTTATGGAGCATCATCTACAATTGAATCAATACGTTGTTTGCTCTTCACAAATTGAGGCTCACCTGCTGCTTTACGAATTATGTTCGATCTATCCTGACAAACTGGGAGTAATACAAAAGATGCTGTCGGAATACCTGAGTCCCCTCATTACAGTCACGCTAATTTGCACGGTGTGAGCATTATTTCACTGTTTATTCAGAAAGGAATGCTCGGTCACGTCAACCTCTTGAAAGTGCAGCCGTAATGAAGTGGTTGCCAGGAAAGGAGGACTGCAAACAAACTTGTTAGATGAAGGCAGATTGAGCAGGTGCAATTTTAAAAAGGGTCTGGCTGCTGTGTTGTACAACACGGTGATGTAAGTTCAGTTTTCACAGAAGAGGATCCAGAGAAAACTTTTACAAATGCAACCTTTCATCCTGCCTTCAATTCTTTTTCTTGAAGAGTAACACTTGGAGATGAGATTGTTTAGTTCGTGAAATGTGAGAGCTGCACCTTTTCTCCTGCCTTTTTCGTTAAGTGTAAAAATGTGTCTTTGCTTATCTGGACAGTGTGTTCCACCTGTCAGGCTTATAATGCGCTTTGTTGTGTTTGTCTGGGCATAAGGCTGGGTAAAAAAAAAAGACAAGAGAAAAAAGAGAAACAAGTCAACAAAATATAGTTTGGTTTTTTTCTACTTAAACCCATGGGTTTGGTTATTGAGGGACTCCAACTCACCAATCTGACCTTAAGAAAATGTGATTGGCTAGGGACAGGTAATCAAATGTTTTGCCTTTGCTGAGAACTATAATTGTGTAGATAAATATACACATGGGTGAACAAGTGGTAATTGTGAAGAATTGGCAATCCTCACAGTATTGTCAAGAGGAAAACAAAATTTATGAGATTGTGTTGTGGGTGACTGAATTTTCAAACAGTGCTTTGTCACAGCATTTTTCCACCATTGACCAAGGTGCTAAATGGCTTAGAGAAAGCTAATGCCAATGTCCCAGATGCACCACAAAAACTTAAAGGATCAGTGTGTAGAATTTAGTGACATCTAGTGGTGAGTTGCATGTTGCAGCTGAACACCTCTCACCTCTCCCTCCACTTCTAAACAGTGGAGAACCTGTGGTAGTCTTCATTTGTCATAAAAACTCAAAAGATTTTTAGTTTGTTCAAAAAGTTGTCATGCTGTTTTACAATGTATGAATAGAAAATCATTTGAATAACATTTTAATGTAATGTAATCATGCAGCGAATGTTGCTAAACCCTTTAATAATAAGAGACCTCCTACAGCAACATCTGAAAAAAACTCTTATTATTATATTTGGGTTTTACATGGTGAGATCCCTTTTTTCTTTGAACACATGATCAACGTTCAACTTTCTGTCCTGAAGTGGCCACGAAGCACTCTGACACGACAAACGAGAAAAACCGTGGACAGTCATGCCATCAATCACCAAAGCTGTGAGCCAGGACAACTGAGCCATCACTCCATTCATCTCTGGCTATTTTTTTCCTTTGACGCTCCTTCCCCCTCCCACCGATTCCTTCCTCAGTCCATCTCTATCCCACCCTTTGCCTCCTTTTACCATTTACTTCCTTTCGTTTTTCACCCTTCACTTTTTGCTGTTGTAATTTTTCAATCTAGTGCAGTCGTGGTGACTTTGTGACTCCCTCTGTAGTGTTTGTACACACATTACATGTATTTTCACTCTGTAATTGGACATTTCTTTGGGACATAGACAGACATAAAATCCTTGCACTTATCCTTTTGGCTTTTAATGTTAACGTTTCATCACATATGCACAGTATATCTTAGACAGCTGATTAAAGAACATTGTCTTTTGGATTATGGATGTAGTATATTTTCCAGTACTTTTACACAATAGTGCTTTTTTGAATGTACAATAAAGTGTTGCAGCAGCACCAGCCTATCACAAGACCTTCTAATGTACACCTATAAAAGATGTGTGAAATCTTAGCAAGCAAATATCCCTCTCCCCTTTATGGACACTCTTGAAACTTGCACAGCCAAAGCAAATGGTACAGCTGGGTGAGCAGTAATGTTCCCTCAAAAGGTATTGATGGTACAATAAAACTCAGAATTGTACTTGAAGGCTGAAGCTCTTATTGCTGCGAGAGAATCACCTCACAGGTCATTAATGTCTAGTTAATTTATATGGCTGAGATGGTGTGAAAATGCTCTGGGTGGGGGGGAACCTTTAGAGGGAATTGTGTTATGTCATAATTGTTACTGTCTGGTTAATTGTATTTATAGATTTCTTTGTAGCTTTGTGCTCAGCGGTTTGCTGACTGTTACATGCTTCTACGTTTTATAGAGAAGAAAGAAGTGACCCAGAGCCTGGAAAACTACACCTCCAAGTGTCCGGGTGGAATGGAGGTCATCACCCTTCCGGATGGCCTGAAGCTGCCTCCGGTGCCCTTTACAAAGCTTCCCATTGTCCGGTAGGAGAGGGGTGTCACAGATACTGTTATCTTTTCTGTATCTTGTCACATGTTGGATTGACGTAGACAAATTATCAAAATTAGAAATGTGGAATAATTTCGCCATACATTAAAGTGTAAAAAAGTTTTAAAATGTTTTGGGAAAATCATACATAATTTCAATGGAATTTCATATTGACCAATTTGAAAACCAAAACTACCAATGTTACTGTGTCTCAATACCACTCATACACACAATATGGAAAAAGATTTTAATTATATACTTTTATTTAATTTCTTTTTACTGAAAGGACAGGATAATGTAGTTCGATAGTGGAAAACTCAAATTTAAATTTCGATTATTCCTGCAAAAAAAAAAAAACACAGTTAAAACAAATATCTGTTTTATGCATCTTGTCTATAAGAGGTCACACTGATGCAAGGGGAGACATCATTACTGCAGTGCATGCATGTTTTTTAACTGCAACTGTAGCTTACATCCAAATGTCCTAGAAACTTGACCATGAGCCTCCACTCTTTGTTAAATGATTTGCTCTGACATTTCATTTTCAATCAATGAAATTGCTATTGTGGGATTTTTGTCATGCAGTGTGTTTAGTGCAGCCACTCAGGCTGCAGCCGTGAAGCCTTTTAATTTAATTTTAGAATGTCTTGTTTTTCAATGCAAAATAAGTGAGTGTTTGTTGGTGAAACTCATTGTGTTTTTTTCATTGGAGCTCTTTGGCGTATCTTAATCAGGCTTTTAAGACAGAAGATTTTCAACTAACAACCAAAGTCACGACAGACACACGACCACTCAAAATGGAGACAAAACATTTCTGAGCCATTATTCGTTTCCAGTGTTACATCATATTCAACTCTTTGAAAACTATGTGTTGCAGTATGGACACCAATTTCATGCTTTTGCAACAGACAATAACTTCCCTGACAGCACAGTGTACCTCAGAACAAAACCAGTCTGCCTGAAGTCAAATAAGGCGTCTGCAGTCTGCAGCTAATGTCAGGAAACAAACCAACATAAACTATGCCTTGCCAATTCAATTGTGATTTTGACCTTTTGTTAATATAGAAGTCAGTAGTCCCTGAGCATAAAGCCTTTAATTATAACCTGTAATGTTTATTAATTAATGAGCAACAGTTACTTTGTGCAGGAGTCTTAATCTACTAGATTATATTGACAAGGCACCTTGTGATGAATTAACAGGACCTGGTCCATGAAAAGTGTCTCAATTTTATTGGTTTGCTGCGTTTGAAGCCTTTAGCAAGGAGAAGTATTTCAGATACCATGTAATGTACTGGGATAATCTTGAGTATGTATTGCAAAAATCAGATTATATTGTTTTGACTCAAAAGCTGAACACAACTAACTGAACTGCGAACATTTTTCCTTCAAATGAGTGTGAGGTGATCATCTTTGGGGTGAGCTTATCTTTCAATGCTTGTGTAAAATGACAGCAGATATACTAAGTAGCTCACGTCAGTGCTGTGCCTTCTCTTGTGATGCTCAAACTAGATCGGTGAAGCTCCTCAACCTGCCCGTCAGCCTGCGGCCCCACAAAGTGAAAGGCCTGCTGGGAGAGAACATGACCACTGCCAGCCCCTTTATCTACTCCCCAATCATCATGCACAACAGAGGAGAGGAGCGCTGCAAGAAGATAGGTACGTCCAATCAGATTTCATTCTGTTAATCCCATTCTACTCACACAAACACACACTACTATACATTCATAAAGAAGTGAAGTGAACAGGCTGGGATTCCAGCCCTGTGTGTATTGAAAGCTCTCAGAAGTTTGGTGACCAAAGATAACTGGACATGGATAACTGGAATCTAGTTGTGTAATGGGAGCCACTGGCCAGAGGCATTACGTTTTTGCGTTGTCTGTCCCATTCTCGTGAACACAATATCTCAAGGATGCCTTCAGGGATCTTCTTTTGTAATTTGGTACAAATATTCACTCAATGATCAAAAGTCAAGGTCACAGTGACCTCATAAAGCACTGGTGATGTCTCTGGAACGCCGTGAAGGAATTCTTTCACATTTGGTACAAAGATTCACTTGGACTCAAGGATTAACTTGCTTGATTTTGGTAGCCAAAGGTCAAAGGTCAAGGTCACGGTTCACCAAAAAGGTTTCCTCGTTAACTCCTCACCACTATAACGATAGGTGACGCATTTTTTAGATGTAATAGAACAACAGAAAAAACCTGCCTCCATACGTGTGGTGTCATCCAAGCGTCCGCAAGCCCCGTCAAACACCGTGCTTTAAGCCTTAGAGTCCACTGCTGGAACTAACAAATGTAGTGGATGTAGCGATGCACCCTGCACGTGCCCGTGGACGAGAGCTTGTGTGCAGTGTGTGAGGTTTTCTGGTGTGTGCCTGCAAACCTGAACATGGCCCAGAGGAGGATATCAGGACCTTTAGGGGTAAAACGCGGTGTAAATGACGCAATTTCGAGTTGAATATGAAGGTCAGGGCTTCCGGCCACTTGGAAGATCAGCTCGAGGGAATGTTTTAAAATTTGGTACCAACATTCACTTTGACTTATGGCCAAGGTCACAGTGACCTCACAAAGTATATTAAGAAAGGTTTATGGTTATGCCTTAAGATTTGGTGCAAACGTTCACTTCAACTCAAAGATGAACTGATTTGATTTAGTGATGGAGGTCAAAGGTCAAGGTCACAGTGCATCTCTGTGAAATGATGTATTAGGGCTGCCCGTGGGTTATTTCATTACATCTGGTACAATTCACTTGGACTCACAGATTAGATTGATTAGATTTGATGATTAGATTTTGGTGGTCAAAGGTGTTGAAATATCTAGATGGAAACTTTACTAAAAGCAACAAAAAATACATTTACTTGAGAATGACAGCTTGAAGAAACTTGAAGAAACTTGTCTATTTCAGAAACACCCGGAGTGATGTTGTTTACACTGCAGATCCTTCACTATGAAAATTCTTCTGCTGTTAATCAAAACTTCACACTTGTTAAGATCTTTGTTGATCATCAGATTTTGTGTGTATGCTTTCCTTGCGGTCTTTCTTTCGCCTGGCAGAAGTCGCAAGCCTATAAGAGGGCTGTGCTTCAGCCATCTCAGAGTAGATTGTGTTCAGGACAAGAAGATTTTATTATTTTCTCATTTTAAACTCATTGAGCTCACCGAAGGCAGGTGTCTCTTTATTCTCAGGAATATTCTAGCTCCATAATTATTGATCTTAACGTCCAGTCATTGCAAACATGATTCATCATGGAGACTACTCTTCTGAGTGCAGGGTCTCCTCTCCTTATCGCCCTTGATAATTCTTCATAAGTGCACTATTTCACAATTTTTCAAGAATCATAGCCGAACGATATTGGCCACCTGCTGCCATTCATCTCATATGATATGCCTGCAATTACTATACATCAGTAGAATATCTAAT